AATAGTATCTTCTCTGATTTTTCTTTTGTTTTTCTTGCTGTTAGGCTATCTATTTATTCTTAAAACGACCTCTTTATCTTTTCAGATGGCATTGCAGCTATTGGGACAATAAAATTATTGAACACTTTCTTTGGTCATGTATGATCCACCTATTTTGTTTTTTCCTCTCATGATAGTATTTTTGAATTTCTGCACTAGTCTCTCCCATCTACAGAGTGTACATGTTGATAAATAAATATACCGGTAAAGTTTTGACGGCAAACAAATGTGTGCAGCAGAGTTCATCAACTACGTTACCATCGGTAACGTAAGTTATCATATAAAAACACAGGGCCAGAGCTTCAATACAAAATCAATGATAGAAACGTGTTTTTATGTTCATTTTCACATTTATTCTAACAATGTTTATGCCATAGTTAACATTAAATTAACAACATATATTCGTTTCACATGAGAGATACTATATAGGGTGTAATACATACCTTAAATTGCGTGGTTTTACTCCGAAAAAGTGGTAGACTTTCTTGATTCAGATTCAAACCAATATGTGAGCTTAAATTTCCCTCGTTATAAACTTTATTCAGAGCTAGGAGTATGGTAATAGTTATTTTCGTACCACAAGGTATCGAAAATGATGGTATAGTAAATGATGCAAACGACACTCTCGCTGCTGTATTGTATTCAAACAAAGTTAAATTGGTTGAACATAGTGATTAATCAGGTACACCCCTACCATACAATTAGTTGATATAACATGAATTTGCTCAACTACGTATTGACCGTGGAAACATTGATCACGTAAATGATTTTCTTATCTATAACTTCATGAAAAACTGTGATTATAATTTTCTAATGCCCAAATCTTCACGTTTCCAACTGCAACTTGTACGACTTTCTAACAAGTATTTACATGTGAATCCAGAAAAATATATAGCACATTGAATACATTATTTTTTCACCATCTTTATATAATTCATAGCACAAGGGGGTAAACATAAAAAAAGACTGGCGACATTTGCTTGGGAATATTTTTGGTAAGGTGAAAATGTCAAAATGATCGTTTCTATCATTTGACTAGAAGCTAGGATCATCTTGTGTATAAGAAAACACTTTATATGGGATGTTACGTATAAAAAGTTCTTCAATGACACCATACAATCCTGATTTTTGATATGGCGACAGTCACGGCAATTATGAATAGGCATATTCGAGTACATATAATAAAATATGTGTAACTTAGAAATCATATATTACATACGTGCTTGGTAGAGGGTCATATATACTACTTGTAAACACATCAAAAATTGATGTCAGTAATGTTAATACTAAGACTGAGCCTGGCGACATCAATTGTGCCTAGTTATTGAGAATGGATGTCAGATGGATGGATATATTCTTTTGTTTAACTTGCGGCAAACCTACCATTTCCCATTGATTAACATGGGAATGTCGATTTTCAAAAATTCATCAATTTACGACCTATTGTAATTGAGGTAAAAAATTGAGAAAATTTGGAAGTTTTGGAAATAAAGTCAAATTACGTTTCCATCAATAGTATGAGTATTTTCATCGCAGGTTAAGTAAATAAAAATTCAAAGGTGAAGAGGCTTTAACACGTAGTTCAATGGGGGAGCTAAGGTTTCCCAACTTATGGAGGGGAGTGTATTTTAGATTGATATGTAATACTTCTATATATATATTTTTAAAGAACAGTGAGAGGAGTCAACCACAATTAAATAAGGGTGGTGACGTTTTCAGCTTTAGTTTAATTATCATACTCTTCATCCTGTCAAGTGGTTGTCTTTAAAACGTTGCATATGTCAAATTCATGCGTCTAACTTCTATTTAACATGAATTAACAGTCAAAATGTCATTTATGAAGAACATTGACAGTAGGTAACTGATCGTAGTTGATACAAGTTAGTTGTTCAAGTTGATACAAGATGTAGTTTGACATGGGGACGTGTTAGAATTAACTGCGATAACACTGCGATCTAACTCATCGCGACAACAAATAGATATATATACGAAAATAGGATAACAATGAGATAAAACCTCCAATCTCCAATTCCTCTTATTTCTCGGATTATACTTCAAGTGGAAATTCTGATTTGACGTGTTTGATCGGATTTGATATGGTGCCTGACTAATCAAATGGATTTAATAAAAAGAATTGAAATGTCATAGTTAATTGCTTGATGATATCTGATTTAGAATGAACGGTCGAATGAATTCATTTCTGCTTGCTAGACTGACAGGTAAATTATTAAGTTATCATATCGTATATCATATACGAGAGCTGATCATAAAGTTCTCATAATATCTCTCTTAATTTCTTTCTTTTAATATTTCCTTATGACATTTCCACAGAATGTGCAGCATGGAATGTTTTATCAATCCAAAAAATAATATCTAGAATAACAGAAACATTAAATAAGAAATGGTTGCCTTAGTAACTTGAAATCGAGACATTCGGGCCAAATAAAAAACGCTAGAATGGCCCCAACATAATACGTTGTCAAATAAGCTATTAAACACATTAAATAGTCAAATAATATGTGCCTTTTGACTGTTTTGAGCTATTATAATGGTCATGTGAATTGTGTAATCTCATAATGAAAGATTAATATGCTTTATTAAAAGTGACTGTTAGACCCTATGGTTGTTTTATCAAATATCCCTAGGAAATTTTGACCCTTTAGTTTCGTTTGTCATATGTTCAGCCCACAAACAGTGTGTACGTTTGTAATATCATATTGTTTTAGATCATGTTTAGTCTAACCAAAGGATCTTAAAAACGTAAGATAGATTTTTATCTCTATGAATTTTATTCTTCCGAAGATCTCTGCATTTATAGCATTCTCTTACTTAGTCATTTCTGACCATTAGCTTTGAGTCTCAGACTCTGGTATCACATCTAATGAAGCATGAAAACATCCCCTATTATATCAAACAATCCACACGAACAAGTTTCAAAAGTAAAAGCACTTAACAACATTTTCAAGTTAACATATTAATGTGTTTGGTAATTTATGAGAGTTTATTATGTATGTTAGCCTTGCCCAAGTCGGTATTTTTTACTAATCTGATCTTGAATTATTACCGCCTTGTACAATCCAATACATCTCCGCTGATATTATGCTAAGTTATTCAGCGGTTTCGAGATTTCCATAATACCTACGCTATCGGGGGTATCGCGAAACCTTATTGATTCACAGATCGCGTGGACACGACGTGTGACTTCAGGCTGATTGACCAATCAAAACGTTATCAGGTTGAGCTGCATTAACAAAGCAAACTTCCCGTCTACGACTTGAAATTCAATGATCTGATCGAGTGTTTCTTTAGAGTTGCAATAGCATTCATGAATATATTATTTAATTAAATGTACATTGGAATGTAAGAGTCATTAATATAAATCAAATCATGCGATTTAATGTTGATTTAAAACTGATTTCGCGATGAAAATGCAAGATGAAAATGTACCGAGTCATGCAGTCGTCAATCAGTGATTCAATCTTACATGTCGATAATTTGAATTCAGCGATCGTTTCAACGTTTATCGTTGAAATCTTATCACCTCCGGTTATCCAATCGATGCTCCGGCATCCACTAAACTCTGATTGATATTTATCTGATAAAATATTTGTATTTTCATGATGAATTCGTGCAAGATTTGTTCGTGAAAAGTCCCGGTGAAAAGTGTACTTGTTTTTGACCATGCATAATAATGAGCTAACGCTACAGGGCCGTCGTTGATTGGTCAAATTTTACCGACATCAACAAACTGTCGGTAAAGCACGTGGCTTTCTCTTTGGTACAAGGCGGTCATAATAGAAATCTAGATAAGTAAAAGAGACCGACTTGGGCAAGGCTATATGTATGTTTACATGGTCAATTAGAGACATTCTCTCAATTTCTTTTATTTGCCCCGGGTGCCTTTATTTCCCGTTACTATGGCAACCATTTTCTATTAAATATGTCTATTAAACTGAATATTTTTTCCTTTGTTAATTAAGAATGACTAATGTTCTCTTGCCGCAATTAAGGTTGTTTATTTTCAGCATGGATGGTATGGTGTTATCTGGTGGCAAAATCTGCACCACAAAGTAAACATTTATTTATTTTTTTATATTCAGTTTTCTAAAAAAATTAATGTTTACATTTAATTTTGCAATTACAATATCAATTAATTGAATGGAGGCTTTTATTTCAAAATTGTATACTATATCACAATATATGCCAATCATCTTGTTATACAAAATCGAATATATGCAATATCATATCATAATGCTGTACTATTCGAAAACGCCATTCTATTTTAAGTCATTGACTTACAACTGTGTCAATTCGATGTGAGTCTACGCATTGATTGCGGAAATGTTGGAATCAATTCTACTGTGTGTCAGTTGCGGGGCTGCTGCTTCGATGATACGGTTGCAAATGTTCCATGGTGCTTTAATGCAACAGGTATATTTTGACAACATTGAAAATAATTTACAAAGATGCACGTATTATGCATTGCATCAAAATGTGTACCGTTTCTGAAAATGTGCAACAAAAAGTTTAGACTAATAGACTAAGTATCATAAAAGGTGAAAATTCGTGCGATATCGAGTTCCGATTTTAAGAAATCATGATTTTCGTAAAGATATGTTAACACGCCGAAGCGTCGTGTTTTTATTCGTTTTATTCTATAGAGAAGTAAATATAACGCTTTATTTGACACATACGATTGGCATAATAGATTTATCTTTGATCAAAGCATCCAGAAATGACTCAGAAAATAAATAAATAAAAAATAAAATAACTTTTGGACGATCTAACATTACGGCATACCTAGAAGAATATGATTTCTCTTAATTTTTAAATTGTTGATGCAATATAAGTTATTCAAAAAGTAATCTTTTTGCATCTTTTTTAGTCACCTTATACTAAAAATGCAATCTTTGTCTCTTTCTCAGAGCGAGCCTCGACGGTTATACCAACAACAGAAATTACTACACAACAGACTACAGCAACTTCAGAAGCATATACAACAAAAGTCACTACTGCCACCATAGAACAAACAACATTTGTGTCAGAACCGACTACAATTTCTACTGAACCGACTAAGATAAGTGCGATACAAATGACAAATACGACAGAGCCAACTACAATTACTACAGAACATACTACTGCAACTACAGAACAAATTACAGTTATTACAGAGCCAACTACAGCAACTATAGAGCCAACTACATTTACTATAGAGCCAACTACAGATACTACAGAACAAATTAGAGTTACTGCAGAGACAACTACAGCTACTATAGAGCCAACTACAGATACTACAGAACAAACTACAGTTACTACAGAGCCAACTACAGTCACGAAACAGAGTCCTGCTGCTACAGAACAAACTACTGTAACTACAGAACAAAGTGCAGTTATTACAGAGCCAACTACAGTAACTATAGAGCCAACTACATCTACTACAGAACAAACTATAGTTACTGCAGAGGCAACTAGAGCTAATACAGAGCCAACTTCGGTTACTACAGAACAAACTACGATTACTACAGAGCCTACTACAGTTACTATAGAACAAGCAATAATTACTACAGAGCCAAGTATAGCTACTACAGAGCCAACTACAGCTCGGACAGAACTAACTACAGATACTAACACTACTGTTACGTCAGAGCCAACTACAGTTACCGCCTTAACAAACTACAGTTACTACAGATCCAACTACAGTTACTACAAAACAAACTACGGTGACTACAAGACCAACTTCTGTTACAACAAAGCCAATTACAGTTACGACAGGGCAAACTGCATTTACTTCAGTGCCAACTACGGTAACTACCAAACCAACTACAGTTGCTAGAGAACAAACTACAATTATTACAGAGCCATCTACAGTTATTACAGAACAAACTACAGTTTCTACAGAGTCAATTGCAGTTACTACAAAACAAACTACGGTAGCTAGAGAGCCAACTACGGTTACTACACAACAAACTGAGTTGACTACAAAGCCAACTACAGTTACTATAGAGCCAATTACAGTTACTACAGAACAAACTGCAGTTACTACAATGCCAACTACGGTAACTACCAAACCAACTACAGTTGCTAGAGAACAAACTACAATTATTACAGAGTCACCTACGGTTACCGCAGGACAAACTACAGTTATGACAGAGCAAACTCCAAATACTACAGAACAAACAACTGTTGCAGTTACTCAAAAGCCGTATGCACTTACCACAGAGCCAACTACAGTTACTACAGAACAAAATACAGTTAACACAGAGCCAGCTACAGAACAAACTACAGTTACTGCAGAGCCAACTGTTTCTTCAGAAGAAACTACAGTTCTTTCAAAACACACTTCAGTTACTACTGATCCAATTAGAGTAGCTACAGAACCAACAACCACAGTAGCTACAGTTGTAAATACAGGTACAACAGAGACTACTACAGTTAATTCAGTTACTACAAGACCAAGTACAGTTACAGCAGAATCAACTAAAGTTACAATAGCAAACATAGGAGTTACGACAGAAGCAACCGAATTAAGAGCAAATATTACAACAACAGAACCAAATACTTATTCTACGATAAGCGCTTCAGATATCATTACGGTTTATTCTTTATCTACAGCCAAAGCAAATAATATTATTACAGGCTCTAGTGAAGATTCCACAATGACAACTGAAAATAACGGGATTATTGTTGATGAAATTGTAGCACCCGGTGAGTGAGTTGACTTGAAAGTAATTCAGTTCATTGTTGCAAAGATATTATTATCTTTAAAATTTGTTCACAGTGTAATTTTGGCGTCGTTGACAAATAAATAATTTAATTGAAAAACAGTAGGCACACTTCTCTAAATATTCTACATACATCAGCAATTAATTATCTATCAAAAATTAGCATCAGATAAGATATCTAGGAGCTCAAAAACTAAAAAGGTCTCAATTTTTGAGAGTAAAATTTCAACTTGCTTCGACAAATCATTTCTTTGAACATAAACTTCAAGTTACCAGGGGTTTATATATGATCTTGGATTTGAGATTTGACTTTTTATTCTATACCTATCTAGTCAAAGGTCAAGAAGTATGTCACAAAGCAGACCAATCAATAAAACAACCTACCAACCTACCTGCCTGCTTGCCAGTCCAGCCAAGCGCCCAGCCTAGTCCAGCCCCAGCCCAGCCAAGCCCTAAATAGCTACCTACCTACCTAGTTACCTAACCTAGCTACCTAGCTAGCTACCTACCTAGCTAACTACCTACCTAACTAGCTACCTAGCTACCTACCTAGCTACCTACCTACCTACCTACCTACCTAGCTACCTACCTAGCTACCTACCTACCTACCTAGCTACCTACCTACCTAGCTGCCTACCTACCTAGCTACCTACCTACCTAGCTACCTACCTACCTACCTACCTAGCTACCTACCTACCTACCTAGCTACCTAGCTACCTAGCTACCTAGCTACCTAGCTAGCTACCTACCTACCTACCTACCTACCTACCTACCTACCTACCTACCTACCTACCTACCTACCTACCTACCTACCTACCTACCTACCTACCTACCTACCTACCTACCTACCTACCTACCTACCTACCTACCTACCTACCTACCTACCTACCTACCTACCTACCTACCTACCTACCTACCTGCCTGCCTGCCTGCCTGCCTGCCTGCCTGCCTGCCTGCCTGCCTGCCTGCCTGCCTGCCTGCCTGCCTGCCTGCCTGCCTACCTGCCTGCCTGCCTGCCTGCCTACCTACCTACCTGCCTACCTACCTAGCTACCTAGCTACCTAGCTGACTACCTAGCTGCATAGTTAGCTACCTTGCCACATACCTAGCTACCTACCTAGCTACCTACCCACCCACACACCCACCCACTCACCTTTGTTAATATTTACAGGTGACACAACAATTAAACTAAACTTTACATTGGAATTGTTATCTAACAGAACAGACAGTCGTCTCAGAGAAGAACTAAATAAACAGGTTAGACACATTTCTTTTTATTCATATAGTAGTCGGTAAGAAAACGCATAAGATATTTGAAATTACTTATTTTTAATATTAGCATTAGTTGCGATGATATATTATGATAGATGTTAAAATATGGATAGCTGTAAAGAAGGACATGGTTTTAAGAAATGTAACAATGTAATTTAACAATGTAAATGTAAGGAACATAAACGATTCCATCGAGTTGGCTTGTTATACATTTATTATATCGGGTGTTCCAAAAGATGAGACACGTTTCGACAAGTATTTTCTCTGAAACTGATGGACCAAATTTACTGAAAATTCGTACAAAGTAGTCTTAGAGTATTATTAGCAAGTTGTAAAAATATGGAAAACGGCAAATAAATAGTCCGTGAGCACTAAGAAATTCAAGCATGTCAAAAGATCCCATACCAGAGCAACGCAATGAGAGCTTAATAGGGTTTTCATGGGAAGCCATTTGACAAATTATTTGTCCCATATTATGCGTGTATTTTTGAATTAAATACAAACAGGATCTTAAGAGGTTCTGGACAAATCATTTGATTCTGGACTTGTCATATTTTTTTTTCAACGAAATCACATCCAAGGGTTGAATTTTTATTAGCTATTTAGAGAGTGAGTCCTGCCTAGTATTAATTTCAATAAAAAAGTTAAAATAGAACCCTATTTGAGAGTCAATCTAATACTTACATTACATTGATAAATTAAGGCAAATCCTGAAATATTTTTAAAGTGCGTTTTTTAATGAAATATTATCCAGCAAGTATTTAAATGAAACGGTCTTATTTAAAGGGTGACGCATATCGTTTAGCAAATCGAACGCTCGTTTCTTGTGTTGCTCACCGTTTAGTATAAAAGGCCCGATCCCGGAATAATACTCAAGGGTTCACAGGTTCTAGGTCGTTGTGTCAACACCTCTAACTGTTATATAGCATAAGTATATTATAGATCGTCACACATTTATAAAAGGGTGATTTTTTATTTTGACAAATCAATTTCACATTTTTGGGTGAAGTTTCAGGATCTTCTATTTGTGTACAATAAGGAAAAATTGGCATCTAAATTTCCCCATAACGTAATAGCACACAGCTTGGCATATGAAATATCCTACAAATGAAACAAAGCAAGACAAACCGGTTTCTAATACAAGGATTTATATTGGCTGTTGTACATGTATTCTTTGAACGCAATCACTCTTTGGATAACGTTTTCAAAATCATTATAAACGGATTACTTTATCTCAAAGACAATTTCAATAAACTGGATTTTACAGAACTCCCCTTATTTTTTTAAAATGGACTGATCCAGTTGATTCGCCTGGAGCCGCCATATTGTTTTCATACGGGATGCTAATCGGAACCCTTTAAATACAAATCATAACATGATATTTTTCATGAAACATTTTTCAATGAAATTCAATTGAAGGGTCAAGATAAAACGAGCTAATTTAGGTGAAAACCCTTACATGATGATGTGTTTTCATAACTTCTTTCATAAAATTCCATCAAGGGGTGAAGATAAAATGATCGAATTTAAGTGATTTAAGGATCACGAGAATATGTTTTCTTTGATATTTTCTATGAAATCCCATCCAATGGTCAAGGTAAAATTTTGATTTTGATTTTGATTTGGTCACGTGTTCGAAAGATCCATATAAGGCCCATAGAACCATATAGGAACGTCATTTTGAATGTCACGTGATAGATCCATATAAGGCTTTTAGAACCATTTATGGAAAGATGAGGGAAGCCCCTGACACCTGTTTCACGATTTTTATGCACTTCATTATTGTACCGAAGTTTGCCGATTCGATTCGTCGTATTTCGGAATCCTGGTGACAATTTTATACTCCATTGGAGTATTTTTGACCTACTTCTTATGACGGAAATTCCCGAACCTTGTTCGGATTAATCCGGATTTTCTGACCTACCTTATCTACCGAGATTTCACGAGTTAACATTCGTCTCATTCCGGAATCCTGGTGACAATTTTATACTCCATTGGAGTATTTTTGATCTACTTTTTCTGGATTTTGCCCTACTTATTATATCTTGACAACAAGCAAATCAAAAAGTTCGACATGAACGGGTCTCGATCAACTAACCTAGACTATGGAAGCCAGGTACGCTAACCATTAGACCAACGAGCCACCGATATGAAAGAACAAAAGTATTATATATTTATACCGAGCGTCAATTCAAAATGATCCTCACTTTTGTCTCCACTTAAATACGACTCGTCAGTTGTATCCAGAATAGTAGAACGCCTATGGCGCTAGTGAATAACCAAGTCCCAGGTGAGTGGTTCGTATCCCTCCGTGATATACTATTTTTGTTTTATTAAATACGACAGAAAGGAGCAAGGTGTAGGTTGAAAACAAGACGTTAGTTTGTTTCAAAACAGTTTGGAAACATTAATCTCTGGAACATTAATTTTTCAACACTGATACAAATTTCCCTGACATTTCCCTGACATGTCTACCGTTTCAAAATTCCCGGTCATCTTTGGCCCTTTTGACCTAATTTTAAAATTACCTGACATTTCCAGCACTTGGAAAATCAAGTCAATTTCCCTGACATTTCCAGGTGTGTATGAACCCTGGAAATATCCCACTGGCTCGCCCTATGAATCGCTAGCACAGATTGGATTGATTAGTGTTTCAAAATGGTGGACGAAGTGTTTGATTAGATAATTTACATATTAAGCTTCTTAAAGGGGCAACAAGGCCTGTACATAGAAAATTCGAAATTTTTCACATTTTCTGAATTTTTAGGGCAACATTTGGCTTTAAAGTGCCCGATAAAGTATAAAATGCGCATGCGTCCAGGTGTTGATAAACTATAAATAGCGAAAATCCAGGGTTTGTCACCACAAGGTAAGCCAGGACGTGTTGAGAGAACAGCTAGTGTTGATATTGAATTTATATGTAGCCAGATAAGTTTCCTTATTGAAATTACATATGGTTATTAGCAATACTTTGTAGGTGCTAAATAATAAAATATTTAGAGTATATATGAGAG